GGGGATCTCAGTCTCTGCTCATATTTCATTGCCTGCATCAATTTTCTAGCATCTTTAAAAGCCTATGCTTCAGAAAAGCCACCTGCTATACAAACACACAGAAAATGTAAGTATGACTACACTAAGAAAAAGAAAGTGGTAACCACGCTGATTCCCAAGAGCTAAAAAGTTAGTATGAAAAAAGGGAAAAGTACAGTCATGTTAGCTCAGGGCAGAGCACTATTTTCCTAAAACTATACTGATTCCAGGACCAAGTTAGAATACTTTCACACCTTAAATGATTTAAAAATAATCAGCACATCTGATGACTAACTTTGTGAAATGAAGTAATAACATAAAAGTTGTTCATACAGCTGTTTAAATAGAAGCTTTCTCCTGTGTGGTTTCTTTTTTTTTTGTCTTGCGTTACTACTGCTCATTCCAGTGATTTGGTCTTGCTGCCTATTTTATGTTGTTAAAGCACTGTTTGTTTACTCTAGCTACTTAAAAAACCAAGCAAACAAAAACTTATCACCAATAGTTTCAATATTTGGAGTATATCAAGTACTCCAAATTCAGTTTCCTATAAGCAATGCTTTAGAACTGCCATTTCATTCTATATGCAATAATATAAAGTTCCTACAGATTTGAAGCTTGTTACTTGCCATTTGATATCAAGAAACTACCATGTCCCAAAATTACTTATGAATTAATATACAATCTTGAATACATTTTTAGTAACATGACGATAATAGAGGCTAATTATTTCAGAGCTGTTCTTTTCTACTATCCTTGTTCACCTTTTTCATAGTTTTTCTTTAACTCTTTCAACGAGCATTTCCTACTATCTTGGAAACATTAAACTAGATTTTACAACACTGTGAATCTAGACTGTTTCAGTATGGACCATGAACAAGGAAAGCAAACAGAGGAAGATGAAAAAACAGTTACTATCTGTATTGGTATGAACAGATCCTTTGCAGAAGCAGCCAGACACTTCTGCCAAGTGTAATTATTCACATTAACCAGTGAGGTGTGCCAGGACAACACAGCATTAGAAGTAAGGAATTTCTTGCTTCTGAAAGCTTGACAGCTGCTAAAAAATTTTATCCAAATTAACAATGATGCTAAAATAAACCACATTAAACCATTTTGTGACCTCTCATTCACAATTACAATGGTCTTAACCAGTCTTTTTTTTAATTTGTGTGCTTCGAATGCTTTGAAGGTAAGACAACTACATCTGCATTTGATGTCAGCTCCTCTGTAAGAGACAGTAGCAGTCTATTGCTGAAGACGTGCAAGAAAGTCTATTCTGAGGAGAGGCAAGGTGCTCAGATGGGCAGGAAGCAAACCAAGGTGGTCCAAATTGCGATGTCTGCAAGCATTCTCAAAAGCAGACACTTACGCACTTTTGACTCCAGTACTAGAGATTCAGGCACCTGTGGATCTGTGGTCTCTCCAGGTTTAGCTGGCTGCTGAATTGGGGTGTTCTTTAGTTTGTGTGAATTGTGAACTTGGTCAGATTATTAAAGGTATCTCCTATTCACAGATTGGGTTTTAAGAAATCTGTCCCCATCTGTTTTACCTCACATATACTCTTCTGGGTTTTTTTGTGAGAAAATTAAAAAAAGTGTCTGTAAAGTTCTCTGAAGTGCTACTGTATATATATAATACAATATAATAGTACATCCTTCTGCCTATTCTTCACATGATGCTCACAGAAAACGCAGTTTCTATGGGAAAGATGACTGCAACTGAAGATGAAGCAAAACAGGAAAGTTGCAGAAAAATTCTTGGAGCAGATCATGTTAAAAAAAATAAACCCCCATGACTGCAC